GTGCAGCTCAAGTGATGTCAAAGAAGCAAAAGCTAAACAGCAGAAGCAGTACGGAAGCGGAACTGATTGCTGTTGACGATGTTGTCACGATGATACTATGGACAAAGTTGTTCATGGAGTGGCAAGGATATCAGATCAAGAAGAATATCTTGTATCAGGATAACAAAAGGGCAATTCTACTGGAAGAGAATGGTCGCAAGAGCGCGGGCAAAAGAAGCCAAGCAATCAATATTCGTTATTTCTTTATCACAAATCAAGTTGAGAAAGGAAATGTTAGGGTCGAATATTGTCCAACTGACGATATGATTGCGGATTTCAAGGTGAGAAGTTTCGCAAGTTCAGGGATCTGATTCTTGGTCCACAGGACTAGGTCAGACAAGTATGTATATGTTCAAGAGAAAATACAAAACAAAAATAAACATTGAATGAGAGCATGTCCCATTGCTGCCAATGGTGATTGTCACAATGGCAGGAGTGTGTTGGGATATGACAAAATATGAGTTTTACGTTCCAAAAAGAAACTATTCAAGTACAAAGTTTTCAACACGTACAATCGGACTTGGTGTCGGGATTTGGCGCAAGTATGCCGGACGCAAGTCTGTCGGACAATCTACATCCACACAAAAAGGGAATGATCCTATACAAGTGAGATATCGGTGTTGTGTACAAGGCAGTAGGGAATAATACAAAATGTCCCAAAGTACTGCATTCAACACAGAATTGTCGTAGAGGTCAAATCAAGTTCTGTAAACAAGGGATTTTCCAAAGGAAAATTGTTGAACTTACTTTTGTGATTGAATCATCAATTCAAGCCAAATATTAATCAAATTGGAACAATTTCACTCAAAGTATACCTAGACACAGGAGAACTATTGTCATGAAAGTGTTGTACAGTAGATTACGAATTTAGATTGCAGAGAGTTTTTTAGGCACTCACAATAGAGCACATTCTGCTTTATTCCAACACAGATGGCTTCCGGAAGAGATATTTTGTACCTGCTTGTGGATATCATTGTCAATCGGCTTCTGGCAAGAATAGCGTAGAATAAGATCTAATTGGAAGTTTTGAGACTGTTCATCTGCAGGTAGAAGCCCAGCATCACTGGCACCTGTTCCAATTGAATCCAATCCATAACCCCAGCCAACATAGATTCAAGCTCAGATTTACTCCAGAGGTAGCTAGAGCATTGAGGCTCTCATTACAGCTATGGAGTTGATTATCTGACAGATACATACCATTCAAACTTTGCCATATATGTAGAATCTATGACATTCTTGTTGCTTGGATGTGTTTCAAGGTAGCCAAAAAGCTGTAATACTGCATGGAAGTGTCCAACACGGGACATGGCATTGTACAAAGGTGTTGAAATTGCTCTCTTGGAGACAATTCATTGGAAACTCCTTGATGGAAGCATTTCGACACGTCCGATCGGACAGAGGGACAAATGTTCGTTTGGTCCGTTTTATTTGGGGGATTCCTATGAGTCGGTTTTTGCAGGGAATCTGAAAACATGGAATTGTGGGCTTGGACTATCAAACGTCTGAGCGCCACAAAAATCCCATACTGAATCCTGCGGGAGTTCTGTACGTGGGTTTTGTACCGTTTTGGAAAATTTGAGTTTTCGTGCAAGGCTTTTGCTTTGCCCTTTCCGTGTAGATAACAAGTCTTTTAGAATAGTTATTTCCTGTAGAGATGATTATTTCCTATTAGGCGGATCGGAGATCGCTATGGTCGGTGCCTCTGCATGACGACTTGATGGGTCGCATGTTGGCACGGCTGGTTGGCAATGATGGTTTGATGGGCCACAAAGTTGTCAATCGGTTTGGACGACGACAAGCCTGTCGCTTGTCTGATGTCTGCCAGAACCGAAATCCAACTAAAGGCATCATTAAGACTTCAGCATGAGACAATTTCCAAAAAGTTGATTGTCTTCATTGTTGGAGGAATACAATTGATGGGCAACTTTCTCAAGGAAATCAAAGCAGTTCTTAATCTGACAGAAATAAATGAAAGTAGATAGATAGACAATGATAGAGATCAATTCAGGTAAAACTACATGCAGTGAGAAAAGCAACAAGTCTCATTCCTACTACAATTCTGTCACAATTCTTGACATAGCTGCAAGCCAGCATGCCTCCTCCACAAAGCGCTCAAAGAGGATGCATGGAGTAGTAATAAGGAATGTGATTGCTTCTACAGCAACTTGCCTGGCAAATGAAAGATGACAAAAATCTACAGATCATGGCTGAATTAGCTCCAGAATGAAATAGAATGAGAAGATTTCCAGATATTTCTAGGCAACAACCTCCTCCCATGACATCCGATAAGTAAGTAGAATGCAATGTATTGACATTCGACTAGAGTTTAATTGACAATAATTTGCCCAAGGGTGTGTTTTGCATGGTGAAAGTACTTTGCAATAGGTCCCAATCCACCTTAAACACATTATGTTTACCAGATCATAGCACTGCACTGTTGCCAGCATTTGTAAGATTCTGCGATTATTGATCGAGAATACAAGATTGCCACCTATGGTTGTAGGCATTGCATTCATGCCGCTAGTCAGAAAGCAGGGTACTGTATTTGAACAATTATTCCATTCACTGTATCATTCATAATTTAGAATGTTAGAACCTCAAACCATTGTTCATTAGCACGGTTTGTTTTTGCATGCTGAGACACCAACCGGTTTCTAGACAAGACACCAGCACCATTCTAGACAAGCAGCTTCTTGATCAGCTCCAAATGACCATCACAACATGACCTTTGGACTACCAACATGACCAGGTCAAATTCATCCTTGCAACACAACATTTCAAATGGTGTCATTCCAATTGTGGCTTTGGCATGAGCACAAGCACCCTTTTCAACTAGGAACTTGACTACCTTTAAATGACCCTTCCCACATGCCCAATGCATTGGTGTCTCTCCACCTATTTTCTTGGCATTGACATCAGCGCCTATCTTGACAAGCGATTTGGCCAGGTCTAAATGATCCTCACTGCATGCTATATGCAATGACGTCTTTCCTTCTGCATCTGTGGCATTCACATCAGCACCCTGATCGAGTAACAACTTGACCATCTCCAATTGACCATGCTCTCCTACCTTGTACAATAATGTCTTTCCATGATTGTCCGTGGCATTAACGTCAGCACCCTTCTCAAGTAGCAAATTGACTACATCTAAATGACCATATATCCATGCCTCATGTAATGCTGTCTTTCCATGTTGATTTTTGGCATCAATGTCAGCACCCTTCTGAAGTAGCAATTTGACCATCTCTAGACAACCGTCACAGCTGGCCTTGTGCAATGGTGCAAGTCCAAAAACATTTCTGGCATCAATGTCAGCACCATTTTTGAGTAGCAACTTCACAACATCAAAATTGCCTTCTTCGCATGCCATGTAAAATGGTGTGTTTCCAGAAAAGTACTCGGCATTAATGTCAGCACCCTTCTCGAGTAGCAACTCAATTATCTCTAAATGACCCTTATACGATGCCTTGTACAATGGTGTTTTTCCAAATTGATTCTTGGCATTAATTTCAGCACCCTTCTCGAGTAGCAACTTGACAACCTCGAAACAAGCATAAGTGCATGCTGTATGCAATGGTGTGTCTCCATACTGATCCTTGGCATTAATGTCTGCACCCTTCTCAAGTAGAAACTCAATTATCTTTAAAAGACCATGCCAACATGCAGTATAAAATGGTGTGTCTCCGTGCTGATCCTTGGCATTAATGTCAGCACCCTTCTCAAGTAGAAACCCAATTATCTTTAAACGACCATGCCAACATGCAGTATACAACGGTGTGTTTCCATACTGATTCTTAGCATTAATGTCAGCACCCTTCTCGAGTAGCAACTTGACAACCTCGAAACGAGCATAAGAGCATGCCTGGTGCAATGGTGTGCCTCCATTGTGATTCTTGGCATTAATGTCAGCACCCTTCTCGAGTAGCAACTCGATTGTCTCTAAATGACCATGAGTGCATGCCACGTACAGTAATGTTCTTCCAAATTGATTCTTGACATCGATGTCAGCACCCTTTTCAAGTAGCAACTTGACAACCTCGAAACGAGCATAAGAGCATGCCTGATGCAATGGTGTGTCTCCATACTGATCCTTGGCATTAATGTCAGCACCCTTCTCGAGTAGCAACTCGATTGTCTCTAAATGATCCGCATAAGAGCATGCCTGATGCAATGGTGTGTCTCCATTGTGATTCTTGGCATGAATGTCAGCACCCTTCTCGAGTAGAGCAACCTGGCTATCTCTGAATGACCATGAGTGCATGCCATGTACAACGGAGTCCATAAAAATTGATTCTTGGCGTCGATGTCAGCACCCTTTTCAAGTAGCAACTTGACAACCTCGAAATGAGCATAAGTGCATGCCTTATGCAATGGTGTGTCTCCATAGTGATCCTTGGCATGAATGTCAGCACCCTTCTCGAGTAGCAACTTGACCATCTCTAAATGACCATAAACGCATACAATATGCAATAGCGTGATTCCATATTTATCCGTGGCATCAATGTCAGCGAGCAACTGGTTTCCTTCTAGCACAGCTTCTTGCAGAAGCCCATCATAGTCCTCGTTCATCTTTTCCATCCTTTTGGGGGTCGCGAGAATATTGTGACATGGTATACAAGATTTTAATTGTTGGAGACTTGTCCACAGAATCAAGACCTGTTTGCGTGTAATTTCCAGCAGAACTCGTTCAAATCACGGAATTTGACCGTTGCATGCCACTGGAACCTTCCAATCGGAGTTACCTACAATAAAATGTATCCGGTTCTTTTGAAGGTGAAAGCATATACTATATAGTACATAAATATGTGTAGACATGTCGTATGTTGAGATTCCACATCCCTCCGGTACATCGAACCTAGAATTCCTCTCTGGTACATCTCTACGCAGGCCTACGGAGCACCACATTTTCTTTGCACAAGACCTCGACACCACAACTTCCAATTTTTGCTAAGTCCACATCATACCAACTCTCTCCCAAACGACTCCCACAATGATGTCCCGGATGAAGCGTCGTGTACCACCGTCAGGTCCTACTGTAACCCAGGCTGTAAAATCCTACTGAGACCCAGGTCAGATACTGACGCCTTTGTTGCTGATGATGCCATAAAATCAACTTTGGTATCAGATCATCAACATCAACCACCACAATCCACTCCACTTCACCATGCCCAACACTCGTGCGCAGCGAAAGCGATCTGCCGCTGGATTGCGGAACCGCAACATTACAGTACTGGGGGTTGGTGAGACCAGAGGCGTTTCTCTCCAGATTTTCATTTCTGGGGATCCCATTGCTCAACCACGCCCAAGATTTGCTGTCACCCGAGCTTCGCGGACCTACATTTACAACCCAGCTGCGCGGGCCAAGACATTTTTTTCGAGAAAGATGAAACAGGAGCTCCAAGAAACTGGGCTCGCCTCCACCGCAAACCCAATTTTCACCCTCCCAGGAGTCGAGGTCCAAGTTCAGTTTGGACTTGCCGATATGTCAAAAGACTTGGATAACATGCTCAAGTTCATCCTGGATGTACTTGAGGACGCGGGCGTATATGCCAATGATTGTCTTGTTCGAAAGATCGTTGCTGAAAAAGTACAATCCAACACCGGATTCACTAGCTTGAGCGTTTCCTACATGGATCTAGGTTTATTTTCATTTGGGCTGAGTCTTCCAGTGCCCTCGTGGTCTGTTGACTCTTGGATCTCAGTAGAGATCGCCCAACCATCAGAGAGACCAAAAGTGCCACTTTGGGGGTTGCTGGTCAAAAATCCTACAATAAAATTGTAAACGCACTTCGAAAATGGTTGTATACTATCTGTTCTAAGTAAAAAGGTTCGCGCCATTTCCCACACCCGCAACACCAAGTTGGTCTTCGAAGCGCCAAAATAAAATAGCAAACACACAGGGCAATTATTGTTTGGATCCCGTATAGTCGTACCGTGCAGCAATGCACCATAATAAAATAGCATATGCTTGTGTAAAGCACGTACAATGAATTGGCATGCGACATGAGCCAAATCCGTTGGGGACA